GCAACATTATGGAATTCCCCTATGGGGCCTGAGTGTGTGTTCCATATGTGCTTGATCCAGTGATCCGGGGTAATAATGTTCAGCGCATAGAGAAGTTTGATATGCGCTATATAAGTATACAATAATAATAATAATAGAGTGAACATGGAATATCTTATCAAATTAATTTAAAAAGAAGCAATTTACAATGTCAACCAAAGGACAAGTTAAAAAGGACAAAGCAATTCAAATCACTGCAGAAGAACGTTAAAAAGAATGTAAAAGTTTGAGTAAAAATGGGGTAAAAATTATCCACTATAAAACAGAAAGCACTAGGCTAGATTTAAATTTTTTTTTTTTTTAAATCAAGTATAGACTTTTAACACTTCTGAGTGGGCTGTCAAATGAATTCCACAAACTGGCGCCTCTGTTGCTAAAGCTTATTTTAGGGAACATCTAGAGAAATATGATGGAAATTGCATTCTCAGACTTAATTTAGAATACAATTTTTTTTTTCCATTATTTTTCTTACTTTTAAAAAGTTGGAAGGGGTAGGGGGGGTTTGGAGAGAGTGGGGGTCTCCCATAATCCGCCACTGACAACTGATCATAGAAGTTAGTATTATTTCTTAATAATGAACAAATCAAGCAAATTCTTATATTATTTTATGTGAATTATGGAGTATTGATTTGCGAAATGACAGAAAAACATATTGACATACAAAAATATTATTATCCATAAGCCTTGTCACTGCTTTGAGACCTCGCATCTCCTTCTATCCAACTCTACACCAAAAAGGGATACGTTAACCAGTGTCCCCCTGAAATCGCCTATCCACCTCAACCCATTATGGTTGGGGCTGAAGTGAGCACATTTATAATAAATTAGACACCGACACTAGTTGCCCGATGATGGCACCCTGAGACTAAAAAATAGCATTTTCCCAGATGGAGGGTCCAGGGTTTTGTTTCCTCAGATGGGCCTGTTGTTTTCCAACTACCAAAATATATAGACTTTTCGGATCTATTCTTACCGGGTTGTCAAAAAGACATGGCTGCGCGTTATTTTTATTTATTTCTGAAAAAAATGCCTCTAATTTAAGACTACTTTTTCAGAACCATAAACAAATGATCAAACTTTTTTAAACAAAGCCAACTCTCTAATTAGAGACCGAACCCCGAGATCGTTCCATCCAGGTCCCAAAGGTGACCTCCAATTAGAGGAAAACTGTATTAAAAATGTAAGCAATTAAATGTACATTACCTTTTAGAAAAGACACGTCAGGTCTGTGCTAATTACAGTAATGCAAGATTCTGATACAGTATTTCCATTAAACATAATTATTCTTTGGAAAAGACTGTTTTGAAAGACCAAAAAGTTACAAATATTTTAAAATTCATTTTTTACTTGCTTGGTAGTCAATTCATATCTTGCTTTTAAAATATTCTTGCCTTGTCCATGGGTGTCGTGTGTGCTGAGGACGGCTATTCTGTCATTTTGTTAAAAGACTTTGTTGCGTTAAAAGGAAAAATGATATTGATTGGTAAATTATTGGTCCGACCAAAACCGAACCAGCTGGACCGCTTCTGATGGCCTTGCAGTTAAACATTTATAATCCACCTTATTAGTACAGTTTAATTTTGTTCAGATTTTGCAGTATTTTACATATGAAGATCACCAACAATAAGGACTAATGATAACCATAATCATAATAATGATGATGATTTAACAATGAAATGATATATTATAAAGCATTTCTAATTGACATTATTAATGCACTGTCACAGCAGACTATAATTGCTTAATTTGTTTATATTAGCCAGTAAAAGTAACAACAAATTTCTGTTTATAATTTGCATCCTCGCACAAATCTTCATTATATTAAAAACCACAGCAGAAAAACCAAACATCATGGCAACAAATATTGAAAAGCCTATTTATTGGGCAATAATATAAATTAATAACAGTTTTCTCTGGCTTTAATTCAACTTAAAGTTCATAAAAGTTGACAGTGGCGTTTCAAATATCAGCCTTAAAACACTATTTCATGTTAATTAATTTGGCTACATTTTAAAACCTGTTCAGTCGAGGCTACAATTTTGTGTATGTATATAGCTAGTATAGTGGTCTCCTTCAATTCAATTCAAATTTTCATTTCAGACATTCATTGCCCACATAAAAAATTAAAGAAAACGAATAATATACAATATACAGAAATTTGTAAGAGGTGGAATTTACCAGAACTGTCAATGTAAAAAAGTTCATTCCATCTGTCCTACAGTTTTGACTCACAGAGCACATTTAGCGTATTACAAATGGTCAAAACAAGCAGGTTGTTACTGGCAAGCATTAACTATTTAAACCCAAACACGGACACACGTCATGAATACATTCATAGAATAATGACGAAAATACTGTACCTTCATGGGAAAAAGAAAATGAGAATATAATGTAGAAGGGGTCCCAAGTAGGAGCACAAATTGTGTAGCTTCATGTAGAGAAAGAAAGAGCATTACTGCACAAAGCATCTACAAAGTCACTCTGTTAAAAATTGATCAGAAACATTGACTTCAAGTAATTGTTTAGACTCCCTACAGCCTAATGCCCTTTCCCAGTTCTCTATAAACAAGTCATTTCATAAAAGCTTGAGGAAATCATAACTCAACATTTCATAACTTTATAATGCTCTCTTACAAATTGGGTGTTCATGAGGAGCTTAGGGAGTACAATTCAAAAATCTATAACCAAGTCATTTATGTGAGGCTTTGCAAGTGGAATGCTACAGTATCATTTAGGAAACCTGATGGTCCATACCAGGCCTCATTATTGAGTCTGTGAGTCAGGAAATAAATTGTCATATTTTTTGGGGCCTTCGCCTCCTGGACTACTTTTGAAACATTTTGAGCAACACTCGACCGCAGGAACTTTGCTATCATCGTCGGGGACATCGGAACCCCCGTCGGGGACCTTGGGTTCCCCATTGGGCAAATCCTGGCGCCGCCCTTGGTCACAATATTATTTAATTTTTTTATTTTCAGCACATTTAAATTGACTAATTTGCAAATAATTTTGAAATATAAGCAATGTTTAAGTAAACCAGGAGTCACTGTATTATATGAATTTGTTTGTTTTTAGCACATTTGTGAGCTACTTAAAGTGACTGATCCACAAGAAATCTTTAATAAACGGATGTTATAGTGAGAAGCAGATCCGTTGTACAGCACCGGGGTTCAATGATGATAAGAATTTCAACTCCTGCATTCCACTCTCTGTACAAACTGGAAGAAACCAAAAATATTGAAAAAGTATGTGCAATGGTTTGTATTTTTGTATTTATTTCTTGCTCATAGTACAGAAAATTATTTAACAATAAAAACTACATCAAAGGAGTTAAAAAAAAAAAACAGAAAATTACAGGAAAAATTTACATACAAAACAAAAACATTAAGAAAGGAAAGGACAACATCAAAAAGGTAATAAGCAATCAGATAATTCACAAAACAATAACAAAAGGAAAAGAAAGGCACAGTTTAAAATATTTAAAAAAAAATCACCATTATAAAAAGCAAGAAAAAAATTATAAGGTCAGAGGGAGCATTGGAAGACCCTTTAAACCTGAAGGCTCGTTTCCAAAGGGGGTTAAGAAAAAATACAAATAAATAAAAAAATAAATTTAAGTATAAATGTATAAATATAATATATAAATATAAAAAATAATTCAAAAATTTAATTTAAAATTGAATTTTAACAAAAATAAATAATATAAGTAAATAAAGTGACAAAAATATATATAAACAATAAATAATAATTAATTTCATTTCATTTCATTTCTTTAGGCACGAGGGCCAAGGATATGCCAATAAGTGAACTTAATCACTGTCCTACGTGGCATATCCATTTAACAACAGGGGAATTAATGGACCAGTACACCGGGGTAACCCCTACTCTTCTCGAATGATGTACCGGGTTCTTTAAAGTGCACACGAGCCAAATGCGTACACTGGGCCTACGGTTTAAAGTCCTTATCCGAGAAGACTTGTTCCACCACCGGAACCATTGGTATAATTTCTAGCCCTTTCCATTGTTATCGTAAAGATATATATATATATAACAAGTACTATTTTACTTGTTATATATATGTTACTATAGGGTATTAATAAACACTATGGATTTTATGGAATGTGTTTAAAGTAACTACTGTAATTTAAAGGTGTACTTACTTTTTTCATTCTGAATCCATTTTTTATCCAATAAATATTGCATCATACTTTCAAATTCTTTTTCAGAATAATTGTCTACTTTTACAGGGATGAACGGATCCATGACTTCAAAACCCTATATCCACAAAGATTACATAAATTAATTAACTTTCCATATTTGTTTATTTTTATATTCAATACGCCCATTTTCAATTACTATCCTGAACATGACTAATTAAACTCAAAATATTGAATTCCAAAATGATAGCAAGTAAAGTACATTATATCTGATTCTGACGTAACATATACTTTATCTGTTTTTAAAATAATCAATTGATATTGTCTGGATTACATATTCTGTCCCTCATGCAAGTTAAATATAAATGTAAAACTCACTTCTTGTTTTAACAAATAAAGAGGTTTATAATCGGCTTTCATCTCCTTGTAACTGTTATGCTGGTCAACCGTTGTAACAATCGCTCCATTTTTCTATTTTGAACAATAACAACATAAATAATATTATTAAAAATAATAAAAAAAGAAACAGCTTTGTTATAATAGTAAGAAAAATAATAACAATAATATTAATAATATATTATCTAAACTATATTATCATACCACGTAGATTATCTAAACTATATTTTCATACCATATAGATAGTAGACTATCTACGTAGTGTACCGCAAGCATTATATATAATAATAATGATAAAGGTTTTAAAAGAATGGATTATCAAGATATTTTTTTTTTAGAGGGGTTCGTCATTATAAATTTATATATAATTTCTTAATTGGTGATCCGCTAACGTTGTTATTGTCAGAGATCTTCTTTTTTTTTTTATTCTACCTTTCTTTCCATTTTTGTTCGCACGATATCTCAAAAACTGCCACGAGTTACGCACATTCGCTGTCAGCGAACATTTGGCTTGGTCTGGAATAGTTATGGTAAGCTTTTCAACGCGCTCAGTCAAGCGTGACGTCATCTACGTGCAATTTTGCGTTTTTACATTATCGATTATATCAGCCTAACCAATTGCCATTTCGAAATCGTATTAAGTGAGCATTAACTTCGGGTTAATGTTGAATGTACTGTACCCTAATTTGACGCGTGCGCTTTACTAAATCACTTTTTGACTAAATTAGAGCACGTTTCAGGCCATTTTGAGCATTTGAAGTTTTTTTGAAATTTTCCACTGCGCGCACGCATTTTTACGTGCGCTGCACTTACGAAAGCTAGAGATTACGTTATTTTACATGTTTTGGTTTCCTGACATTGTTTTCACAAATTTCCATTCTTTTCGGTTATCTTTTGGCCAATAGCAATACCGTACGTGCGCATCAAACATAGGTATCTTTGCGCGTATTTGTGCCGCTAACAGTGAAATTATGCTAAAATCAGACCTATTTTTATTCAGTTATAGCTCCTTAGGTTGAAAGGTGACCCCCCATTTTCATTACATATTCTGAAAGCACATAAGTTGTAAATATGATTTTATAGATCATAATGGCTGATCGGACATTGTGACGTCATCATATTGGCGTCTGAATTCAAAGAAAGTGATTTATAGCTATGACGTCATTTTTGAAAATACGCATTTGAGCGTATCTCGCTTATCCTTATCGATCGTCTTCCAACTTTGAGTATGTTATAGCTGAGACAATTCTCTTTCATATATTTGACTTCTTTTTACATTTTGATGATGTCATCATGGTCAAAAAAATTGTTTTTTCTGACCCCCACATCTTTCTTTCATCAAAAAGTTGATGAGCCCATATCATCTTAACCATTCATCATTTCTGAATCATATTAAGTGAGCATAATCTTCAGGTCAAGGTAGAATGTCATGTACCTTAATTTTCCATTCGCGCGACTTAATGTGCGCGTACGCGTGCGTCAACATTTATATATGCATAAAACCATTAATATTTTTAATCACTTATAGCTCCAAAGGATGAAAGGTGACCCCCAATTTTTATTACATATTCTGAAAGCACATGAGTTGTAGATACGATTTTATAGATCATATTGGCTGATCGGACATTGTGACGTCTACACATCTAGATGTGTATAAGAGACAGGATATAAAGCATATTTAATTTTGACGCACGCTAGCTTATCTTGATTGATTGTCTCCCACCTGTGAGTATGTTATAGCTAAATCAATTCTCTTTCGGACGTGTCCCTTTATTTTTTATTTTGATGTCGTCATCACGGTCAAAAAGAATGCTTTTTTTGGAGCATTCTCATCTTTCTTTCTTAAAAGATGTAAACACATTGTTACATCCCCAGAGTTGTTGATCATTGTTGTTAATAGCTTTAAAATGTTGATGCGTGTGAATTGAATTGTAATTTTGTTACGCCCTCTGTAGTCGATGGGGGATTGTTGTTCGTATTGTTATGGTAATTTTTGGCTGACAGGTTTTCTTGGTTTTTAAGAAAAGGGCTTGTAGCCAGGAGCCCGCTCTCTTTTTCGTTCTGGACTGGCCTGGTGCGGTGGTGCGTTGGAGCAGGGCTGAGACTTGATGCAGGCAGCCTTTGTATCCCGTGCATTGTCGAGGTATACAAACTTTTAGGTGTATGCAGATGTTAATATGGATCTCTGTTTCAATAGTCTATATTGGACTGTGAGTGAATGATTGTTGTTGACATCTAGTAACATGGAACTTTGTCTCAAGACTCTACAGTGGACTGCAAGTGATTAACGCGACATCGTTCCCAGATTCTAGCGACAGGCTTAGCGGCATCGTTACTCCTGATTCCAGCTGTAATGTAAATATATGTAAAAGTTGTGTGTGTGTTATGAATATGGTTGTTGTTATACTGTATAGCGCTCATGAGTGGTGGTTATGTTAAATAAAGGGTATAATTGTTGCATGATTACCGTATATTTGACTCTGTGTTTTTATTGCGAGCTAGTGTGAGAGGCTAATCGTAACAAATTGGGGGCTCGTCCGGGAATGAACGAAATTTAAACCTCCCAATACAATAATTTGAAAGTTTTGTGCAGTGTTTAAACTGATTCCGGTTGGTAATGAATTGGGATATTTAACAATACGTAGATTTTCTTTTCTCATAACGAGATATATTTAAAATAGAGGGCGGCAGACTGTATTTCGACACTATCAGACCGATAGTTCGTATACTGTCAAGTGCAAAATTCGTGTGGCATTACCAACCAACAGGGGGTTTTAAATTAAACTTGACAAGGTTTAAATTCATGTGCCATTACCGTCGTCAGGCACGTCATATAAGGTATTCGTACTTGTGCGAAATTTTAAAATTGTTAATATCACTTTTCAGATAATTTAAAGCACGTTTCAGGTCATTTTGAATAATTCAAAACTTTAAAAAATTTACGCGCCGTACGCTCATTTCCACGCCCACAGCACGTACTGAAGCTGGAAATTACGTTTCTGTTACATGTGTTGGGTTTGTGACACTGTATTAATACTACCGTGCGCACGGACGTTAAGACGTATGTGTACACATTTGTATTTTTAAGTCCTTCAAATGCTCAAAATTACTCTTTTCCTTTAAAATTCATTTTTAAAAAAATGCTCAAAATTACTCTTTAAATAGAGCATGTTTTAGCATATAATACTTTTCAATCAGAACCGTGCGTGCTTCGTGAGGGTCAAAGTACGGCGGATCACCTAACTCGTCCTCAGTGACGAGTTCAAATCTAGTTCAGATTAATATTAGCAACATTTGAAGCAGTAATGTTTGTCACAGTAGAAAAGTAAAAAATCAGCATCAGATCACGCATGAGCAGTCAGTGTCTCAAGGAATGGAATGTCGTACTAACAAATGTAGCAGCCAGGGGCTGTAGCCTGTTTCATCCTGAAGGAGTAACAATATCATTTGACAGCAACAGTGAACGCTTGAATATCCTAGCACAAAATCACTCAAGTAGTTAACTTACCCAATTTGCATTTAGGAATTTCCTGAAATGCATACACATGGTCAGTTCTCTCACAGGAATCTGAAAGTAAGGTAAAACACACTTAAAATAACGTTTTCACAAACAATGAATTTGGAAACCAGAGCCCAAAAAATTCAGGTTACATTGGTAGGAATTTTAGTGATGAATATGAGTAAAATTATATATTTCATACAATAATATTTATCTATTATTATTTTATACAGCTCTGCTTCATTAACAATGGCTGCTCTAGCAAAGGGTGTAAGGGGAAGAAGACAACGACAATGGAAACATAGTTAAATCCAAAAACAGATAATACTCTAATTAATATAAAAGGCTTTTCTAATGTTGTAAGTAATGATACAGTAGCACGAAACCAAAATTAAACAAAAAAACGAAAAAGATAAAACAAAAAAAGAGGTGGTGGTGTTTGCATATGTCAAAGAGGGAATTGGTTACATTAAAAGACATGATCTAAACCCAGATGAATGTATTTGGATCGAATTTACATATAAAAAAATTAAAATAGCCTTAATAATTGCGTTTATCGCCCTACAAGTGCTAAACAAAAATATATAGAAAATTTATTACCAATGCTTGAAATAGTATTGAATAAAAAAAAATGAAATTATCTTCCTGGCAGACCATTGATTATAAATATGACATAAATCTTCGTTTAAATCAAATAAATTTGATATATGACCCAGATAATACATAAACCTACCAGACCGGCAGTTCGGCGCAGCAGTTGAGGTTTGGGTTTTCAATCGCAAGGTCGAGGTTTCGAGTCTCTGCCGTGCAGATTCGCTTGTGTCATTGGGCAAGGCACTTTAGCTACATTGCTTCAGTCCACCCAGCTGTATCAATGCGTACCAGCAAACTGCTGGGGACTAACCTGCGATGGACTAGTGTTCCGTCCCGGGGAGTACAACTCTCATCCGCTTCACACTACAGAAACTGGGGATAAGCTCCAGCCCTATGAGCCCTAGTGGCTCGGAAAGGATTTAGTTTAGTCTACCAGAATCACAAATATGTCTGCAAAATGTATTAATCACATTTTCTTTTTGCACAGGAATTATAAAGACAATATTGATCATAAAAACTATTATGACTTCGCGCAAGCATTATAAACAAATTTTTCATTATAAAAACTATCGTGACAAAAACATAATTTGACTAATTGGAAATAATTTGAAGATCGATGCGACCTCGTGATTTCATGTTTAGCAAGTAATTATTTAAATTTAGATCTTCCTCTTTTTATAAAACAATTATTATGTTTTTATTCAATTATTCATCTTTTTATGTTTTCAATGTTTATAATGTTATTATTGTTAATATTATATTGCTTCTCCTATTAAACTATTGTACAGTAATTTTAATGTTGTTATTAATATAGTGCGATGTTTTTATTGTTTCTTTTTTGGTTGTTTTGTAATTTTTTCCTTAATTCTACTATTTGCTCAATTTTAATGTAATATAATTCGAAATTCAGCCTTTTGGCTGCCATGTATATATATATAGTGTTGTCATATAGTTATTATTTCTGTTTATTAATTTATGAGCAGATCCCTGTAAATTTATTTCAATATAAAATGAATTTAAAAAATGACAAATATATTTTACTGAATATGTATCCTGAGTAAATAAAAAATTAAAAAAAAAAAAGATACAGCAGTACTTTTCATACCATGTAGCCTCCTGGTTTGCGGATGTTTGTCCTTTCAGCAAAAAGCCCATTTACAGCTTTCACTGCATAAAGCATTTTAAAAGAATCTGAAAAACTATGTTCTTTTAACTCTTTTAGCAATACTCCGATAACATCCGTTGCATTCTTTGGTCTATTGAGCCCCTAAAAAATAAAAAGAGATGATTATTAAACTTAATTGGCGTACAAACAAAAGAATACTGTATGTGTTCAAGCTAAAACACTTGAGCTTTTTGCAATCAAACTGCAAAAGTTAATACCACTAGTATATTAGAATAGACCATGTTTAATCAGTGATGGGAAAATTATGTGTAGTGTTAATGACATCACGATTGAATAGATTTATGTGATATTATGTTGCTAAGACATCCATTTTACGTACCCCTTGGTACCAAGGGGTGTTTGTGAAGTGAAAAATTTGTAAACTAGATCGGGTGTCAGTTTCTCTCTCCTGTCATTAAGCGCAGAAAGCCTGACGGCGGCCAGGCCTAGCACGAACAGACAGTGCAGCAGCGTGGTCTACCGCCCTAGAGCCTAGCTGAATTTACTTTTGATAAAAACCAAATTATCTTAATCGCTGGCATTCTTCCACTTAACAAAATATTACTTTAACTCTTATTTAAAAATCTGTATGTTTTATGGATCTTTTTATCATTTTCTTTCTAGTTGTAACATTGTGTTGTTTACATGCATTTCGCAAACATATCTAGCATTCCCGATGTCAATAATGTGCTGACACCCAACATTCTCGTTCGTTATTGTAAACATGTGCGCCCAATCCAACAACGCTTATCGGTAGTTTGTTGTTCTGGTTAGGTTTATCACATTAATATAGTGATTATTATACCAGAAATGGAAGAAAGGATCAAATTAATAATAAATAAATACAACAAACTTGATTTTACTAAGACAAATATACATTATCACTTTGTAAAACGTGCACAATCTGACTTTTTTCACTGTAATATTTGGTCGATAATGACGTCATCAGGGGCAAAGCCCATTTGTAAAATCAACTATTCGTAAAATCGACGTTTTACTGTACTATTGTTTGCCTTATATGAAAACAAATTACTGATGTTGAAATTAATGATAGAAATGAATTTGTTCACCTGATCAATAACACTAATAAGAGGTTGATTTGCATCGGTGCATTCTCGCTTACTCCATGTATACTTCTCATGTGTTTTGAGCTGCAAAGAAAATAGCATAAATTCAACAATTCAGCAAAAATAATTGGCAAGTACAATAGCAACTAAAAGTAACAATGTCAGATGTGGTGCAAGTTGAGTAGCTCCTCCCACCATCCCCCCCCCCTATCTTGTGTCTCCATAGCCTTTTCCTGATTGGTCAGTTATTAAGTTTAAATGACAATTCAGACAATATAGTCAATTAGAATATGGGTTATTAACTGAGTACAAGGTAGCTATGATGCATAAGTTATCAGTGACTTTCTAGGTCAGTCAACATGTTCAGTATTCTTTAACACAGGAGCCAAAACCTACCCTTGATAAACTTAATTCATTTCTGGACTTAAATTGTTTGAGCCACTCAGCTGAAAACACTGGCTGATCGTACATGCCTTCATGGGATACACTATCAAGAAAATCAAACCTGTTGTTGACATTCCAGTCATTGGCTACAAAGATAACAAAGTCTATTAGTATGTAAAAGTAAACATAAATTACATAGCAAATATTAAATTATTTTTAACAATGACAACAACGACAATGACAAAAATAATAATAATTATTAATAATAATAAAAATGATGGTAGTCTTATATAGCACATAATACATTAAAGTTGCCTCTATACACTTTACATGGACAAGAAGAAAAATAACCATTAATTATTCTAATGTTAAAGGAAAACAACATTAAGAAAATGGTAAAAAAAAAAGCAGAATAATCATTTTCACTGCTCTGTTCTCCAGCACTTTAAAGGCAAAATGTTAAAGACTCGCAGGAATAGTACTCAAAGGAGCTCTAGTGAAAATTACATCTAAAATAAATAAATCAGATGAGAATATGATTAATATTTCCTATTTCCAGTGTAAATGAAATAAAAAAAAAATGTAAAAAAATGAATTTACCATTTGGAATATGCACAATCATCCATCCTTGAGTATAGCAATAATGCATTATGTGCATTAATGAAAGTGTTTTTCCACTGCCCCTGTTACCATACAAGACATATCGCACTGCTGATTGCTTGAAATTACTTTTCTTCAAATAATCAATCACTTCTAAAGCAGGTCTTCTGATCATAATGTTTGCATCTCTAAAGATTTGGCTCTAAAAATATTTTAAAAAATCAAGTATATATTTCTTATAGGCCAATTCCATATAAATTAAGTCACCCTCCAAATAAAGACTGCTTTTGGTCTCTAATTAGAATAAAGATAACAGACATTTGTTAATTTGAGACTACAGCAAAGTGGTCTTTAATTGGTGGATTTTTTAAGAGGGAGAAATGTATTTCTTACAAGAATACATAAAAAACTATGAAATATGTCAAAATTACAGATAATGATAATGCACAATATTATGCAATTTTCACATAACCATGAAGGATACAGCATTTCAAGCGTTAAGATCTGAAGCCTGCCATCCCAAAACTAGCATACTGTTGCTACTATATGTTAAACTGAGTATTAGCATAATAATGTGGCAGTACTGTATACTTTAATACAAAAAAGCTGTAATACTTTTACTCATAACTTTGGCAATAGTACGTCGATTTCTATATTTGGCCTGTCATTTTAAAGCTTATCATGTGAAGAATGATTACCGTTATTAAGAAGTTTTTTATTTTCTTATTCAGGTCATTAATGCTATCTTGGCAACTGCATTCAAGTTGGGTGGGGCTTAAGAAGTGTTTTGACAAGTTTATTACAGTTTGCCGCCAATACCTACCAGAGTATACCATTTTCTGGAATATCCAACTGGAAATATTTTACTGACTTCATCCTGGGGTACTTTATAGAGCAGGCCCTCATGTTGAAATACTTGCTTAGCCTGAAAAATAGGCATAATAAGTAAAAATATAATATCTGTGCGGGCAGTTGCCAGAGCGCTTGCAGCTCAGGGACTCGCATTTGAAGTCAGGGGTTCGTATCCCATGATCGTACTGTGGTCCAGAAGTTATATATGTGTTCATTGAGAAAAGAAAGACAAAGTTGCCTATTTTTGTATCTATGCCCCTCGGGGGGCACTGATGCGCTGATTAGATAGGGAAAACAAACGGGACCATTATAAGAGTCGCCATTAAGGGAGGTGATCACTAAAGAGAGGTGGTCGCACAGAGAGGTTAAACTTTATTATATAATTTACACCCTTCCCTGATTATACCAATACCAAAATCTTAGCCAGAGAGCCATCCGGCTGTCTTTTGGACGGCCTACAATTATTTAGGACAGCCACTTTTATCGTAACAGCTCGGCCTAGCCTAATTGGGCCTGGTCTACCTTTAGCAAATTCTTTATTTATATTCTTCAAATCTATCGAATGTTACATTAAACTAAAGCTAAATAAAATCTAAGTTTGATAAAAACAACATTTATTGATTGAATGTATGTTGTTTTCGTATCAATATTTGGCGGGGATTCCCAAAGATGGGCATGGCCCGCCTATCGGCTCAGTGCCACGCCCAATGGCTTCCATTTTGGATGGCCTATTTCGTTTTTCTGGCTAAACCCCTGACCAATACTGTAATAAATTACATTGTTTTCATTTGCTACCTCCATACAGGTAACCAAAGAGTTACCATGATTGTAACAGAATGTTTTTTATTTCAAATTTTATTAAATTTTTATGCACCAGGTCTGAGACAATGGTTACTCAGTTACTCTGTAAAGCATAGTAACAGGAGGTGCCTTACATTCCATATATTATATTTTTTTCATAATACTAATAATTTTATACTATAATTGGGATATTTAAAAATTATTTTTTATTAATTTGAGGGGGTAAGGACCCACTCGACCCCCCCCCCAACCCTCTGGCTGCGCCCCTGTACTTACAAATAAATAGCATTATCATAGCAGTTTAACCTGTGAGAATTTTAAGTTAGTTCAAATTATAATTACACTATTTCTTAGATGTTATGCCTCGCCTAGGCTTCCCTTGGGGAACTGACATAAAAACATGCTGTATGCCTTTCCCAGTCTTTACTTTTAATTCAATACACACTTAATCATCAGTATTTGATATTATTCATTGAACGAAAATGAATCAAAAAATGTGTTTCATACATCGCGGGCGAACTTGTTTGCAGCCGAAGCTGTTTTGAACCTTTAATTATACAGTAGCAGGTCATTTCATCATCCTAAGAAAAATAATTACTTCCAAAAGCTGGTACCATGCAGGTTTAAATATGCTGAGATTGCAACATAGAGACTCTCCACAGACTTGAGGTCAATGTGTTCAAATCTCACCACTTTCTTTTACAATTATCATAATCATAATTTTATCTTCAACATATTTATCATTACACTAACACATTCAATACCATTTTCATCATCATCATCATCACAATCTAACCTTACCACACTGATCATCTCTATATTAACTATACCACCACCATCATCATCACAATCTCGCCTTCATCATCACCTTCACTATGACCACAGCAATATCTTATTTTCATTATAATCTCACCTTCACTTCTACCACCACCATCACAATCTTACTTCACCTACCATCACCAATAACACAATAAGTTACACCACTACAATCATCATTCATCACCACCATCATTCAAATTTTCTATCAGAACCACCGCGAAATCTAATCTTGGCATTACAGAATCACCAATCATTATTATTACGTTTAAAATTTAATACTCACAGGGTTATCTTCAGGACTTCTGAATGACATACTTCGACATGATTGAAATGTCACACCTGAACACCATGACCTTGCATTTACCTGACAATTAAAAATACTCATTTTACAAAGAACACAGGTTAAGATTCAAACAGATATTAAGGGGAAAAATTTGAATTTCTATGGACTGCACAGCACACTAGTACGAGGCAATACAAGGATTAGAGAAAGCAACTATATTTTACAACTTAGGCAAGACAAGTTTTATGCCTTGTTTCGCGTACTTATTTTTTAAAAGATCATCGGAGGAGGGCAGAATAAAAATAAAATTTGGTTTTGTTATTTAGCAAATAGTTTTGCCAAAAACATCCAGACAGAGGAGAAAATAAAAATAAAATTTTATTGGGGAATGTGAAATGCTCTATTTTTTATAGAATTAGGAAGAAAGATACATATCTTATCTTTGGCATTTCAAGGCAGCAGAGTCTCGCCTTTACTTGATTTATTTTTTTACCATATTTATAGAGGGTGACCCTTCCAGCATATCCTAGAAGGTTGGCTGATATTCAGGGCTCTTTAAATAAATGACATATTATGTGATGCTTTTATCATCAGCAAAGTTTCTTTATGAGGCTAGAGAGTGGAGTTGTTTTTAGTCGTGAGAAAGAGTCCTTCTGTCATAGGAATTGAACTAGGGCCCTGGGATTAGAAGGCAAGCTAAACCATTAAGCTATTTAATACCATATTAAACATAATAATTATGTTGTCATAGTTAAAAATCATTTTGACACTGTCATAAAAAATGTGTGACTTACCATTGCACAATTAAATATTTTCCTCATTATTAATGTTGTTTCTGTACTTTTCATACAATCTATTGGAGAAAACAAAAATGAAATTATTTTTTTATTGCTCAGCTCCATCTTTTGTTGAGATCATCTTGCAATATATTTGTCATTGGATCACTTTGGTTAAAAGACTCAATCAATTTGGTATCATCAGCGAACATAAGCCCAAGTGAATATACATCATCCAACAGATCGTTGATATAAATCAAAAATAAAGTTGGCCCAATAACAAAGCCTTGCGGTACACCACTGTGAAACTCTACAATCTAGCCATTGTGACTTTGCTTCTCTCACTGCAACTTGCTGTTGCCTTTCGTTTAAATATTGACTAATCCAGTTGATTTTACCGTTTATACCATATGCATTATAAGGAGGAGGAGGAGGCTAGGGCTCCCTCTTTAAGTCCTAAATACTACTAATAACAGGCATAGACTAATTAAGTAGTAGACCTATCCTAGGCCCACGTTAAAGCTACAAATGCATATGTATTAAGGAAGTTAATCCTCCAAGAGCAATGCTGAAAAGCTACCATCTCGATGGAAAAAATTGCCATGTGGACCTTGCTATCAATGTCCTAAATACTACTAATAACAGGCCTAGACTAATTAGATTCCAGGTCAGAAGTGGTCGCGCCCTATTGTTTGTAAGCATTTCAATTGCAGCTGAAGTATGGAGCGCCAAGTACGCGCTGTGTTTTATTTGGGTTCTGTATTTTTAAAGAGATTTTTTTTTTGTGTATTAGTATGATTTATTTTGTCTTTTTTTACGATCCTTGATTATACACAATACTATTTTTTTGTATTTTCAGTATGATTATTATTTAAGTTTTACAATTGTTATTGTTTCCGAAATTTTAATTATTTTTTAGTATAATTTTACAGTATGTGGTTATTTAAAAACAATGTTCTTTCTTCTTGCAGTTCCCAGTATTGAAAAGTCAAGTGTACAAGACAGTACAATTATATTATCCATTTCTAAATGATCCTTAAATTTCATGTTTGTTTTTGTGGCTAGTAATTTCATTTATCAAAAAAAAAAAAAATCTAGGCCTATCTATGTTGTACGCCTCAGAGGTTACATTCGAGCGTCTGTCTAGACGACATATATATCGCGGATCTCCCCTTAGGGCGGTGTTATTTCAACCAATCGACTTGTAACATTTGCGTTGTTTCTGTAAAAAAAAAAGATGACACCATTTGATACGGCAATGAAATGAATAATAATAATAATAATAATAATAAAACTACTAAAAAGAATTGTTAATATCTGATAATGTTGCAATAGCCTAAGTTTCATGTTTAACAAACAGTACTGCCACCTTGTTTTATTAAATTATTATTCGCGGCCACACCTTCGGCGCTCCATACTGTACACCGCGGTCGAAATGCATGACAAAAGTACCGACTCAGGGCCGAAACGACTCTACACTGACTAATTAAGTAGTAGGCCTAGAGCCTAGGCCCACTTTGGCTAAGTAGGCCTAGGCTAGGCTTGTTAAGCGGCCTGCTCTAGCTAGGGCTAGGCTCCTACCTAGCCAGGCTAGGCTAGGCATAGGCCTAGGCCTACGCATAGGCCTAGGCCTACGCATAGGCCTAGGCCTACGTAGGCTAGACCGAAACCATGCCTCCGTAGAGCTAGGGCCCTACCTAGGCCTAGATAAGGTCTCTATAATCGTTCTAGTCTAGTAGGTCTAAGAAAACTCTGGAGAGATAGTTTGTGAATTAAATCTGAAAAGTGCATAAACAAACACAAAACCCTCTCCACTTACCTCATGCATGGGACCACTTCCCACGGCGTACCATCGAAAGACGGACGGATGTTATGGATGGCCTTTTGTTGACAGTTTGTCGCCCCCTAGCTGCTACCGAGCACGTGTGTTAATTGAAACAAACAAACACTGTAACTGTTCGGTATGTAGCGGACCTGGAAAAAGGGAGATAATGCTGCTTCCTGACAGTTGAGTTGCCTCCACGGATGAATGGAGTAGGCCTAGAACCATGTGGAGGTAGGTCGTTTCCTAGCTGTATATTAGGATTACCGGTAATTTAGCTATTCATGATACTAGCTGTGTATACGATTAATTTAGCTACTGTTGTATTCATAACTTAGTCCAGTGCAAATACGGAATGTGGGTTACCCTGATTAGGGAGGTGACTGAGCCCTTTACTACATGTACGCCTAGCCTAACTAGGCTAGGGGTATAGTAGGCCTAGCTGGCCTACTTATTATATTATACTGCTGTACTTCTAAGTTCCTAGCCTAATACTATTACACGTAGCAGGCGAAGGCCTATCTCATAGTCCTCTTCCTAGTAGTAGGGATTTGTATACTATAAATAAAATGACTACATGATTCATGAATATCCATCCACAAAAAGACCAGAGTCCGTAAAAAATGTTTTGATACATAAAGCAACTGTTGGGACCTCCATGCAGGTGTCTATAAAACGAAGACAGAAGACCCAAAAACGAAGACCCCTATTTTTTCTCTTTTATTTTAATCATAATATGGCAGGCTTTCACAAAATCAAAATTACGATTTTTTTTGGCCGTCTGTTTGTGAAATTTTCAAGGGTCTTCGTTTTATAGACACCCTATATGGGTGTCTACAAAACAAAGACCAAAGACCCGAAAAATGAAGACCTCCAATTATTTCTCAATTATGTTATTGAAAGTATTTCAAAATCATCATAAAACAGTTGCCAAGTTCATATTTCATTATTTCATCACGATTGAGAGAAAAAAAAAATGTGGGTCTTTGTTTTTCGGGTCTTCGGTCTTCGTTTTGTAGACATCCATATAGGGTGTCTATAAAACGAAGACCCTTAATTATCTCATCCATCCTATGTTGGTGTCACTACCAAATGACAGATGCTGCACATATGCGTCACTATACAGCATTCCTGAAGTTTATTTTAACATAGAACAAGTTTATGAATGAAATATTCAAGGTTTTTGTAGGCCCCCAAAATACGCGTACCGCTAGGCCAAGCCTTACTTTCGTTTAGAGGGTAGCAGCGCCACTAGCCGTGGACGTACAACATTGGTTGCCGCTTTGGAACTGGAATAAAGAGTAGATCATTAAATTGGCTTGGATTCAGGCAATAATGTGCTAAAAAGACGAATACTATAAATACATAGCATGAATATTAGGACATAACATGAAGTGATTTAAAAACATTATTTTCATCACGATGAGAGAAAAAGATGTGTCTATAAAACGAAGACCCTTAAGTATTTCTTGATATTCCTCATTTTATCCCGATGAAATAGGTACTAGGTACTGTTTTATGATGATTTTGAAATACTTTCAACAATAGAGAAATAATTGGAGGTCTTCATTTTTTGGGTCTTCGGTCTTCGTTTTGTAGACACCCATATAGGGTGTCTATAAAACAAAGACCCTTGAAAATTTCACAAACAGAGACCCAAAAAATTTCTTAATTTTGATTTTGTGACAGCCTGGCGTATTGTCATCAAAACAAAAGAGAAAAAATAGGGGTCTTCGTTTTTGGGTCTTCTGTCTTCGGTCTTCGTTTTATAGACACCTACCTCCATGCTCATTAGTTTACAGTACTGTACATTGGTCAAATTAAAGTGAGTATAACTTTTTGGTTTTTAACTTAACGTACATACATTTGGCTTAATTTAGTGTCCAAGATCAATCAAATCAGTAATGAAAATGCCCATATGTGGCAAAGACAAGCCAAACCAGTCACTCGTTCGAAAAATCAATTTTTAGTTATTAATACAGTGTTTAACAGTAAAATGAGAGCTATAAAATGGTAAAAGAATCATTTAAATCCAACACTTTGTTATGAAGTTACACGAGTTTAAACATACAGCTGTTTAAAGAACAATATTTGAGAAATCAGCCTTTAAAGTTTACGATTTCAGGCATTTCTTAGGCAGAAACTAACACCAAATCGTTAAAAATTGTTGTTTTAACATTGAAAATGAGGAAATTAAAAGCATAGCATTATGTATAGATATAGAAAGATTAGTTTAGTGCAATAAAATAGATTTCCAAAATTTTGTCATTCCAGCATGTTTTGGCCATTATCTCCAAGACAGGATTTGCGACGAGTGACTGGTTTGGCTTGTCTTTGCCACATATTGTGCAAGCTTCAAAGGGGACTTCGCCCCCTGGACCCCAGCCGGGGCCCCATAGCAGCCCCCTGGTCCCAGCCAGTGGCACGTTACTACCAATGCGAGTTATCACTGATTTTTTGGGGAAAAAGTTGGCAACTACTGTATTGATTGCTTTGGTACAATCCCAGACCTCTACCTAGGTGGCGTGAACAAGGAAGCAGCTTTCACATTTGCCCTGCCACAGACAAATGATGGGTGCTGCTAGGAGTCTGCGACCAACATAGTGGCCCCAACTTAGGGCCCCAAAAGACAGTGCAGGGGCACCACACAAAAACATAAATGAAAAAAAAAATCAATAAAAGAAATATAACAAAAACAAATGAATCATACTTTATAATTAAAGTAAAAAGATGTTTTAGCACAGCAATTATTAAAAGGAAGTTCATTCCAAAGCCTGCTGCAGAATTAAGAAAAGGCTCTTGGGTTTTAGGTAGTTGTAGAAGTTTTGTGTATCTGTAGACGTCTTAGATGATGATCATAGTGAGCGTGCCATTGATGGATGATATTTAACAATTGTTTCAGAGAAAGGTGTGATGCCGCTCAAAGAACTGACTTCATGGGATATGATGTAGACTTGTAGGTGATACAATTATAGTAGCTAAGTAAGAGTTCCTCCAATAATATGAATACAAAACCTGAGATTATTTGATCCAGAATTCAAGATTCTTAGCAGGACATGGCCCAGAACGTACAAGACATCATGCTAAAGTGGCCGACATAAATCAATCTTTGAAGATGGCTGGACAGCTCTCTGGCTAAGCCCTTGTTCTTGATGCACGTTGATGTTTGTGCAATTTAGCAACTTTTTAGTTATGGGGGAACAAGTTAAATTCGTGCCCCCTACTGTAGCCTATATCACATTTATGAAGTAGACTAGCCGGTAGTCATTTACATATTATTTATTGCATTCAGTCCCAAACAAAGCACTATAATCATTGAATTGATGTTGCCATATCTTTTTTTTAGGATTTCAACGTTCACATCCACATTTATAAAACAAGCAATATTCAAAGAGATGATAGGGCCAGGTGCCTTACTTAACATCAACTTCAGTCATAAATCTAGTTCTCTTCCTCTTCTCACGCTCTATACAAAGGTAGGAACAGCATGTATTATTACTTTCTTAAATCAAAATAAAATAAAATTACTTTATTAAACATGCATTTTTTATCAGTGGCACACGTCTACATGATGGTGCGTTTACTTACCAATACTTGGGATGTTTCAGGGGTCCCAGTTCTCCATGAAATTTGCATGTTTTGACTACTTCATTATCAATTGTCTCCCGGTAGTCAGTGCCAATGGGTACAGTATCACTATGCACACCAAATGTGTTACGAGAGCTCATTTATTTATTTATTTCATTTCAACAGACCAACAGCAAATCATCGCCACTAACAGGCTGGTAAAATATATAAAATTTAAATATATCAAATATATAGACGAAAGAGTACAAAAATCTCACCTATTCAAATGATTAATAATAATAGAACGAAATATAGACAAACTATTGTGAAATATGTCAATATTAGAGGTTAAAATAAGAGAATTATATTGAAGAGAAAGTCTAGAAATAAAACTACGTTTACAGACATCAACTCTACAAAAGTGGACATTAAAGGTAGGACAGGAACGAAGACTCTAGAATTAACATGCAAACCAAACAGATGTACAAGATCACAACTAAAGTACGAGTTAACACATAATATAGAAAAAAACCATTTCGTGAAATAAAAATCTATTCCTAGGACACATTAATTTACAAGGGCGATTAAAACATTTTTCAAAAAACCTAATAAACTTAAGGTGCATCCTATCGATGCGAATTAACTGAGATTCGGATGCAGAACTAAAAATAACACAGCAATATTCAAAATGAGAAGTAACTAAATAACGATATTAAGGCAATAATGGCACCAGGGCTATTTATTTCTCTGCAATGTCTCCAAATGAACCCAAGCATTCTGTTTCCCTTACTAA